ATAAAAAAAAAATAATATTTAAAAAAAAAATAAATAAATAAACCAGTTGATCAAGATGAATACAATCATCCCCTTGTCGCCTCGCTTGTCGCCTGTTCCTGCATTTTATATATGGTATATATATATATATATATATATATATATATATATATGTTAATATTAAGTCATTACATTTTAATATGCCTATGTTATCGACAAGGCGAATCGAGTTAGCATCCCGCCGTTTCGCATATAATGGGTATTAGACGAATATTTGTTCATTTACCGCGGTTGGATTTGACATGTATGTCTGATGCTTCTTGGGGCATGTACGTGCGTTGTGGCCTGTCATTTCACCACATGACTTGCACGTCCTTCGTTTCTTTTTCGACCCTTCAATCCCTTTCTCTTTCGCACTCTTTATTCTCTTACCGCTACCTTTGTTCTTGGACTGGGTCGGTGGGTGAATGTTTACCTCTCGAGGAGCGGCCATGCCGACGAATGATTCAAAATGGTGTTCTTTTTCAATGTGCATATCATCCACAACACCCCCTGTTGAGCAGCATACATTTTATTCTTTATGAAGTGCAATGACTTGTGTCATAATGTGCAATGTGGATATATATAAAGTACAGTACTGTAACTTAAATATTTAAAATCATTATGTATATTTTACCATTGATTGTTGCATCCCCTGGTGTTCGAGCAGACAGTAGCTTAATCTTGTATGCTTCGACGATTTTTGAAAATTCAATGAGGTGGTCGACACAGGGCTCGGCTAATCCAATGCATATATGTATATCTGACCATAGTTTGTTCAACAATCGATTTATATCATCGGCATTGGCACACTGTGCATCAATGTTCGAGAACGTGAAACATGGGATTACTAATCGTCTGCTTTGTCCATCTCGGCATGATATATGCTGACGGAATGAGATTGAAGCCCAGATCTTTGAGCACAACAAATACGTGTCTACACAACCACCCGTACAACTCGAAGTGCTTGCACGAACACGAAGACGTAGTTAGAACCACATCATGAACGACAGTGAAGGATTTTCCATTCGTCTCTTTGATTATGAATTCCATATGCCCTTCACTTTCAGATACATTCAATACACGGCAGGTGAAACATGCTGCACATATCTCATCTTGTACGCGGTAGAATGAGGATATCGTGTAAACAGACATCGCGTGCTTTTCAACCGGAAAAGCTGTCTTCAAATCAGCAATTTGCGACTCACTGTCATTTTGTAGCTTGACTGTCGCGTTTCGCTGCGCGTCCATCGCATTCTCGAAATGAAGTAAGAACTCGACTAAGCTAGAATGGCTATTCGTGAAATGACCAAACCAACTGTTCTCACTCTCGGACCTTGATGTCGTCCTCATCAATCCGCTCATTTTAACATCCTTGAAAAATGCTGGAATCCAAAATTCCCTTTTTGCAAATAGATCATTAAACCAATTGTGTGTTTCCAGTGTATAGTCTCTCATGATTGCCGCCCATTTAGCTTCAAATTCATCAGGCTTTATAGTTCGATCCCACACAATTTCATTAAGCCTTCTCCTGAATTCTAC